CTGTTTGATACATTAATACAAACACTAATAATTGAAAGATCATTCCTTAAAGTAATTTTATTTCTTATCAAATTACTCTAGCTGTCTTTGTCATATATGTGGGTTGTCATTGTGTGGCTTTTACTACTAATAAATGCAATTACTCAGACTTTTTTGTCAATTGTGGGTTGTAGTTGAGTGGCTTTTACTACTAGTAATGTACACATCTGTAAATTCATCTTTCAGCAATAAACCACTACCTTGTCAGTGACAAATATCAGTTATTACAATAAATCAGAAAACTGATGCTGTAGAAATTTTTGAGTTTCAAAATTTTGCTGTGATCTAATTATTATGTAATATGATTGTGTCGTGTAGTATTAAATGTGGCATGTAATTACATATGTAATGAAATTCTAATCCAGAAATTTCCAGATAGACAGTATTATTATTATTATTGTATAGGAAGTGAGTGGAATAAAGCCTAATGTATTCAACACAAGTGTCACTACAATAAAGCTAGGTATGTTAAAAAAGTACTATCACAATTGTCAAGTAGTGGGAGTGTAGACTGTACAGTGTATATACTTATTATTAATTATTATTTTTATAGATATTAAAGATCTTGATATTGTCATTAAAGAATTAACATCAGATCAACACTTGCCCTGTTCTGTATGGCACAGACTAGGTCTACAGTTAGGATTATATGATCCTAGACTAGTGGATATAGATGAGAGACACAGAGGAGATCCAGTAAAATGCATCCATGCTTGTATGTCTGCCTGGTTAAGAGGAGAAGATAAAGTGAGAGAGAAAGGAGGTCCCAGTTGGTCATCATTAGCTACAGCACTGGATACAATAGAAGAGAAATCTATTGCTAGTTACATTAGAGATAAATATTGTACATCAAACCAGTTAATTGCCTAGTTCATCTGTTTATTGAAATTATTATTTTCTATTATCACTTCATTTGTCTAGATGGCTGCCTATAGTATCCTACTTTATTCTGTTTATAATAATAATAATTATTAATGATACATTATTACAAGATGAATGTAAAACATCAAGGGGACGACCCAAGCAAAGCAATATACATCATTGTTACTATTTACGTCTATCTGTTTGTTGCTAATGAAAAGTTTGAGTTGATTCCGACAACAAATTTTTGTGCAATGGACAATTTTTGAATCACTACATCACTACCAAACGTGTACACTAGGCATCGTTACTATAAATAGTATCAATTACTACAATAGACAATGATATAGACCTCTTGAGCTGAGAATGAATTACGTCATAAACACTATGACTATGTCACTAGAGTATATACGGCAGTGGATGTGGTAGAGAAGGAGATAAAGTTAATGGACAGAAACTTTCTATGTTGAACCAATGTGCAAAAGCAGAAAGCAAGCTATAGTAAAGAATCAGCTGCACATTGCACCAAATCTGTTTTATGAGATGCTTTGTAGCGCCCATTCTTCTTCCAACCAACTTTTGTAGCTTGAAAGAGTTCCAGACCTGCCAGACAAATGATTTTTATAGTTTACTTCATTCCTTCTTCATTGAATCTTGCCGTCCAAAATGGCGGCCAATTATTACGTGTAGGTGGATACCTTATCTCAAAATAACAATATTCATACACTTAGTCATTCACAAGCTTGAGAAGTCTATATCATATACTACAGTACAATAGCATAGTGTCAATCAATAGGATTGTACTATAAATAGTATCAGTGTTACTATAAATAGTATCATTTACCTCTATTCCTAAGGAAGAATGACACTATGTCTCAGTTCCAGTCTCCAGTGCATTGAGTGGGAGGGAACATTGATCCAATGAATTAAGAGACACTCCTAGATCAGGAGAGACCGAGATTTTATGAAAATTAATGATGACAAAGACAAAGTTTGTAAGAAAGAGGGACCATCTAAACATGAAAAGAATAGGAGGTATTTTAATTTATATTTTATCATAAAATTGTAAATATTTACCTGGAGTGTTATAACTAAACATTCTACAGTATTCCAGTGAATGAATGGCAGCAATGATCATAGCATTAGAGACACTATAGACCACTGGATAATAATGAAGTTAAGGATAATAATTGTACATTATTAATGATTAATATACATGTACATGTACATAGCTCAAGCAGAAAAAATAATAAAAAGAAAGGAGAGGATAGCAAAAGAAAGGAGAATCATTATACACATGCATAAGCCTTAGGCATTTTTCAGATTTCAGTCTTTGCTTAAAATGGCGACAACCAGAAAAATTCAAGTCAGAATCAGCTCAAACTTTCTACACAGCATAAGGACATCAATATGTATCAGTATATTTAATAAAAGTTGAGAGTAATTTTTAAGCCATTTTTTGGAAAAAACTATGGGCTATAGCCTTGGGTATTTTTCAGATTTTAGCGAATTTCCTTAAATGGCCGTAACACAAAAAATTTAATTCGAAATCAGCTCAAACTTTCTACATAGCATAAGTACATCAATATGTATCAGAAAATGTAATAAAAATTGGGAGTGATTTTTTAGCCATTTTTTGAAAAAAAACCAAGGCTAAGGAATGTGCATGGGGCATTAATTAGGATACACACAATCCCGTCCTCAATGAGAGTGAAAGGCAGCGGCCATTCAAAAAGGATGTCGTTCAACTTCCCGACATATTGTGAAAGAGTATCATCATACTGGAAGGACTCCATGGTTGGTTCTATACTGAAGACTGAAGAGAGAGCCAGTGATTGTTGCTGAGATGAGCCTGGAGGAGTGAAGAGTGAGGTGTGTTAAAGAACTGTCATTAGCTAGTGGAATGACGTCACCTTTATGAGAACCAAGTACTGTTAGTGTATCAAGACTGGAGCCTATTGAGAGGAGAGAGGAAAATAATTAATAACTAATATAGTCGGTTTCAGTTGAGTTTGACCACTGACCCACCCTTATAACTTCTCTATAATTTATGCTAGCAACTTGAAACTTGGTATATTTGCAAAACGGGTTCTTCCGAAAATCTGTACCAATTTTGGAGTCTCTAGGTACTCTGGAAGGTTCTCAAAAGGTTCTTCCGGTCAACATGAAAGGGAGCCGCCATGATGTTTCATGACGTGAAGCTTCGTGAATATCATTTGCATCTCATTAAATATGTCAATAATCATGTTTTTATTATTTAAAAATCAAATAAAGCAAAAGGAGTACTCCAGGCCAAGATTTAATTGAACAAGAAGACTTTGCACTCCAGAAAGAAGCCTCACTCAGTCTGCTGTACTTCTCTAAGCCTTCGTTCAGTATTTGTCTTCAACATTGCCGCTCAGAAACTCCGTTGAAAATTTGCATCTCTCGATTCTTTCTTCAGGTAATAGCAAGCACAAAGATCTTTCATGTCAGTTGCAGGGCTAGCAGTGGCCAAAACAGGGTAATAAACAAGTTACAACAAGAAGAAAGGAGCATGGATGAAATTTTCTGCCATTTTATTTGCGTGTGGGTGGGGCTACACGTGACGTTTTGATGATGAAAACATCTGGTCAAATTAACTCAACTGAAACCGACTATACCGTGATTTTCAGGTTGCTTGACCCAATTTTCCTACTTCCTGCTCACGTGACATATATTATTAGTATGGGGAAAGTCACGTGATTACGAGTTTGCAACGTCAAGCAACCTGCAAAGCACGGTACTATATCCCAACTGAGTTTGACACCAGCCGCTTGGAATTTGAAAAATGTAGGATACGTCACTGATGACGTCTTATAATGATATTCATAGAAGCATGGCCGACATTTTACAGCTGCGTAGTTGGCCAGTATTGCACTCTTAAAAAGGTTTTGTTTGTTCTGATAAGCAGTACAATAGCTGCTGGAGTCAACTAGTCTTTATACAGGCAATCATTATCAGAAGATCTTGCTCTGTTAGCTTTTTAAAAGAAGAATTATCAGTTTGGGCGCTCGACCACATGTTCTTATGTAAACTATGACGTAGATAAATTGTCATAAAACGTCATTTTGGTATGCCATTGAGTTTATAGGGAGAACCCGGTTCTCAGGGTTCCCAAGGGCTGAGAGACCCAAGACCTGAGATCTTGTGATGGCATTGGGCGACTAAGAACCTGTGAAAGTTTTATCCTTATCCCACATTCCTATAAAAAGTTATTCCAGTTTTTCTTGGGTCATGAATCATTGATATTGATGGGGAGGAACTTTAAAAATTTGTAAGAAATCCAAATTTAATTGGAATCAGCTCAAACTTTCTATGCAACATAAGTACATGTACATGCATCAGAGACAAATTACAAAAAGCTAAATTCTCTCCTTTTATTATATATATTATATATATGGACTTTGACCCAATTTTTTTGCAACTTTAGAAAAACAAATTTAATCAGAATCATCTCAAAAATGTCTATGCAACATAGGAACATGTCAAGCTGGTAATATCATTCTCTCTAACCTTCTCTCTGAGGACAACACCACAAGAAAGTCCACTGAGGTAAGCATGGAAGCCATTATCCTCTGCAACAACACTAGGAGGAACTAAACACGCTCACCTTATCAGCCAAGCTCCCTTATCTTGCATGAGTAGTACCATTCATCATTACTGATGACTCCATGTGGTTTTAAGGCAGGCTCAATCACACCCATACTAAACTGAACTGAACTGCTAATGGAAGACCAAGATTAGCACAATACCTTGACTCTAATAATAATGATAATAAAATGAATTTAAATTATTTCTATTCACTAACCATAAAGTCAGTAGTTAATACAGTATTCATTGCTGGATTTGCTGCTTGACAAATAAATTTGAAGCATCTTCCTATTTTTTTCTTTGAATGACGTGATACAGCACATATTTCTGTGTAGAAATAAAAACAGTTCATCAATGAATGAATAAATGAAAGAGACAGACAAAACTCTTAAATGGTCACAATAAAAAACAATGCAAGTTTGTGGTTACTTTAATCTGTCAACAAATTCATGGCAAAGAGTTGAGTAGTGTACATTCATTATTGTAAAAACACAAAATACAGTTAATTGGTTGAAATGGCCAAATATTATAGGCAGAGTCACTTTTTACTATAGTAATTATTATAATGTAGATCTACATAATCATATAATGTATGTATACAAATATGCTTATACACACACCTATACTCAAATGCATATACAGTAAATGTAGTTTTATAGTTTATAGAAAAATGGTTGCTATACATGCAAAGGCATTTTCTATGTTAACACACTATAAATTTGGTGGAGGAATGATTGGTGAAATGAGCTTCATTTGGTAGACAAACTTGCACAACACTTATAACACTTATGTGTAGTGTACATTTATTATTGTAAAATACAAAAATACAGCTTATTGGTTAAAAAGGCATAATTTTAGGCAGAGTCAATTTTTACTAGTAATGCAATGTAATGAAGATCTATGTATGCAGGGTATGTATACACATACATATGTGAATGCATGTATGCTTACACATATCTACTCAAATGGACAGTGTACAATATAGATACATGCATCACTTTAAATTTTGTTGAGCTTCATGCAGACAATTTTATACTTGCTGTAGCATGCTACTGACCATTGGTTA